TCGGCTGCTCGGTACAGGATAGCGAAAATATATGTTGTTTCAGAGAAGTTCAAGTCCACTGCGCCAAAGAGGGCACTGAAGACTGTATGGAATGGTCACAGTCAGGGAAAATCTAGGAAGGCATGGAAGAGATTCTCCATCTACCTCCTTTTTACAGAAGGGGCAGGTTGATGACACTGCCAAGTCTTGATGGAAGATAAAGGTGTCCAAGCCAGGGCCCCATGCAGCAGCTACTATTGGAGGTCACCAGTTCTCTTGGCAGTGGGTAGCTTGTACAGGGTGCACCAGGCTGGGAGGGCTTGCGCTGGTATTGCTGCCACTAGGCACTGCCTCCAGGTTGTCAAGGCAAGCAGTGAAGACAAGAACATGGTGTACTTTGGTCGCCCACATGTACAGTGCCTTCCCAGACAGGATCCCAAAGCAGATCTCATTACTTTGCTCTATGGGAACAGGGAGGGACAGCAGAATCCCGGGATTGCTACTCTCATCGCTGTCTATGCCTAGAATTAGGTAGTGATGAGAGGCGAGAAGTGTGGGGGGAGGTCTGTAGCGAGCTGCCAACAAGGGCTCATTTGGAGAGGAGGCCCTCCTGGACAGCAAGTGCATCCACAGGGAGAGCAGCTTTCACTTCAGCCAAGAGGCATGAGGAGAAACGGACAGAATGCAGGCCCAGCAAGTCAGCGAGGGCTCTTACCAAAAGCCAGGTAGGCTGGGCCGACCTGATGAGAATGGTCAGCTTGATGGAGTGCAACTGGACTAGGGAAGCAATGAGGTTTCCAAAAGTATGGCTCAGTGACCCCTGCTGCAAGGCCAGGTTAGGAACCAATGGGCTTCTGCAACAACTATGGAAATCACAGGTGCCTGTCTTGGCCAGGTGAGGCTGCGGTGGAAGCGAGAGACAGCAACCCAGCTCAGCTGATCAGGATCGAAGAGGAAAAAATTCCCAATTAAGGTTGAGGTCCTCTCCACATGATGCAGGAAAGCAGAGACCAGCTATCACCAGGGAAAAGGTTCACCAGCAAAGAGCAGGCACTGAAGGGCATTCAGGAATAGGGAGGCCACCCTGCTTATCAGCTCAATCAGGCCCTAACCCTCTTCATTGATGGGCAGGTACAGGACAGTCCACTGGAGCTAGTGGTGCCCATTCCAGATGTCCACATGGAACTTCTGCAGCATTTTTAGCAGGGCCATTGGCAGGTCCAGGATGACACACCTGTGCCACAGAGGAGCAGCTGTTAGGTTGTTGATGACCAGAACCCATATGCGGTACGGGTGAATAAGGCAGGTGCCAGCACCACTGCTGGAGTCATGCCTCATCCTCCTCACTGAGGTTTTCCCCAGTTCTTTTCTAGATAGACTAGTGGGCCTAAGAAAATGCTCCAGGATTTGAAGCCATTGCAGCACAAGGACAGTCCTCCAGACAGGTCTGGGGCCTGAATGGCCAGCAGAAACTTGTAGTTTTTAGCCCAGTTGATACTGGCTAAGAAGCTATGCTCATAGGCCCACTAACACTTGGTCAGGGACTGGATGTCACCATCACTACTCACAAAAACAGATATGCCATTGACATACACTGTCACTAGCTGTGGAGCCAGCAGCTGGGGCTGCAGCTAATGGGAGGGTCAGGCCCATAAGGCACCAAGACAGCATATGGAGCAGTGGTGCTCAATGTTATTGCCTGGTAGGTCAGACTGGCAGTGCTTGGTCCAGCTGTAGGTAGGCACAATGGGCACCATCAGGCTGTGCAGAGGGGGACAAGGGCAGGCTGGCCCCAATGCAGACTCACAGGGGAAAGGAGACCCTGCCCCCTATGAAGAGTGAAGGGGACATGGCCAGACCCCAACCCAGCCCCACAGGGGAAGGGGGCACTGCCCACCCCAACAGAAGTGAAGGAGGTATAGCCAAGCCCTGAGGGGCAAAGTGTTGCGGTCCAGTCCAGCTCCCGGTGTGGGACTTGGGGTTTGGGAATTTGACAGGAAGTAGAGCGGCTGTATTAAGGGCCGCCACTCCCCTGCTGCCAAATTTTCTGACCTGTGGGGGGCTCTGTAGGCTGCATATGGTGACAGGGTGGAGGTTGAGCACCCCTGGTATAGGGCATTCCAGATAGGGAGCAGCCCTGCCAGATGCCCCTGAATGCTGGCAACAGGACACACTGTGCTCCCATTCACCTTCAGGAGGTAAGAAATGTCCCAGTACAGGAGCTGGATGGTTGAGCTGAAGAGAGGTCCAAAGACAAAGGCTTCCAGAGTTTGGAATAAGAATACATGGTTGACCTGATCAAGTGTTTTTCTTGATCAGACAAAGCCAATATTCAGGCCAAAGAGTTCCACAACTGCCAGCAGGTCATGCAGGAGGAACAGCTTTTCCTGGATAGTTCTTCCAGGTATGCAGTAGTTCTGTTTGGGGCCTACAGCTGAGACCGTGACCATCTTGGGTTGGTTGGCCAGGGCTTTGGTCAGGATTGTTTGACAGATTTACAGGAGTAATACTGGTCCCTAATTCTTAATGTGACCAAGATCCTCTTTCTTTGGCAGCAGCACGAAGACTTCGAGGCAGCAGATCAGTAGGGTCTCATCTTTGAGGCTCTCCTGAAACATACACAGGAAGTCTAGGCTGAGGAGGGGCCAGAAGGTCTTGTAGAATTCACTGGGTAATCCGTCATGGCCTGCACTTTCCCCATGGTGAGGCCAGCAACGGCAACGGTCAACTCTGCCAAAAACAGCTCCTGTTTGTGGATAACCAAGGACAGCTCCTGTTCCTAACAGGTGTTGAATGCCCTCTGGTCAGGCAGGCTCAGCTCTAAATAGCTTCATGTAGAAGCAAACGGGATGTGCTGGGTCTCTAAGCACATGGCCCAACTTGGTTTTAAGGTGGCAGATGATCTTTTGTCCTGTGTGTGTGGTTTCTCTAGACTGGAAAAGACTCAAGTCTGGCAGTCAGCCTCTAAGTGTTTCTGGAAGCAAGGGAGGGAGCTGGGGCGGGGAGGAGACCAGACATTTATGCAAGAAGCACACAGAAACAGAACATTAATTTTGGAAATGAGGGTAACATAATCCCAGCTTGAGCACTTGCAGTTTCAATTGATCACAGAAGTTTTATGCAAATAGGATGAGGAACTGGATGCTGATCCAGGAAATATTTTTTCTATTATTGCTGCAACCAAAGTCCAACTTACTCAGTGTTTGCTTCTCAGTTTGAAAGTGGCTGGTAAGGAAGTCCATCCTCTACAAGTCAAAGTATTTATGTTCCTGTCATAACTGACTTTAAACATGAGGACCAAAGTTCACACGTCCCTTCATAACAAAAACATGTCCAGAATAATACAAAGCATGTCTAAATTCTGATTGAAAAATGCCTAAAATAAGAGGCTCCACCCCAAACAGGCCCACAGAAAATCTAGCAAATGCAAGTTTGACCCTAAACTAACTAATGAAATATATGACTGTGCCAATAAACTTCTTTTGTCTGCAAGCAGGGACGGTCACAAAAGCACCTCTGCAATAAGATGTCAAGTCTCTCAGACAGCAATGCTAGACCTCTGTTTAGACATACTCAGAGTTTTGGTTGTAAAATAGGTTTTTAATAGGAAAAGAAAGAATTGTATGCATTTTAAACATTCTTCCATTTGAAGAATGGAATGGAAGAGTTAACTAACCAACTTAACATAGTTTCCCTCTGACATTTGTGATACTAAATAATCTCTAAAATAAAAGTAAGTAAAAACAAAGAGAGACTAATTGTTTGTGTCCAAGCTAACAGAAACACACAAGATAAACTTCATGCTACACATATACAGAGAAAAACAACTGCAGTTTATTTTCCTTTCAATAATTCAAAGGGACACACAAATACACTTATTTAAAGTATACATTTAATTTAATGTTTCTTCCCCAAATTTGTCTCTAATAATTTCATTTTGTTGGGAATGTGTTCAGCTAACAATCTTGGCAATGGAAATCCTCCGGCCACAAAACGGAAGGAAGATTTTGCATTGAAAGGGACTGCAGTGGGATTCAGGATACCTGTGCTCAGGTCTCTGTCCTGGAACAGATTTCCTGTGTGACCTTGGAGAGGTCACACCAAGTATACTGACCTCCTCAAAAGCATCCAAATAACTTCTAGTATAAATCCCACTAACTTTTGTTGGAACTTCTGATTTTATGCCACATCAGTACTTTTGAAAATTCACATTTGCCTCCTATACCAATGTGTCCTTTGCAAAATTATTTAGTG